AATGCATCGCAAACGTTTCAACGGCACATGAACAACATTCTCGGCGATCTCGACTTTGTGGCAGTGTATATCGATGACATTGCTGTGGCTTCGACAAATAAAGCCCAGCACTGTCAACACCTTAAGATTGTTTTTGATCGCCTGCGACAAGCCAACCTACGTATCAACGTGGCCAAGAGTGTATTTGGAAAGACTGACGTAACTTTTCTGGGACACTCTATCACGGCATCTGGCGTATCCCCAACAGTCGAACGAGTGAACGCGATAAATGAGTTCCCGAAGCCGACATAGATATGCGAGTTGGGCCGATTCATTGCCATGCTGAACTACTACCGCCAATTCTTGCCGCATGCAGCCGTCATCCAAAGCATTCTCCAAGCGCTCATTCCTGGCAACAAAAAGAACGACCAGTCGCCGTTGGAGTGGACCGAGGATGCCAGTAGAGCATTTGCGCGCTGCAAATCCGACCTGGCCAGCGCAACACGGTTGGCGCACCCGATAGCCAATGCACCCCTTGCACTTCAGGTCAAGTACACACAAAAAAATTTGCTTGGTAAAATTGACCAACAAACTATTTAACTAACAACTATTTAAATAGTTACGTGTATTTTGTTTTTGCTTTGGGTGTGTGTCTTTGCTAATTGTGTGTATTTTGTTGTTGTGAAATAACTATTTACTTAGTAGAATTGACAATTTTGCTTATTGGGGCCTGTTTGACAATTATTACAGTTGATTTTACCAAGTTTTTTTTTTGTGTGTATAGTCGGCTGAAATAAACTTGCGCTGCGTAGGAAGCCCAAAAATAGGTGTGGCAAATCTTAACCTTCTAGCTTTCGTAGTTTTCGAGATCTCAGCGTTCATACAGACAGACGGACAGACGGACATGGCTAGATGGACTCGGCTATTGATGCTGCTCAAGAATAGATATACTTTACGTGGTCGGAAACGTCTCCTTCACTGTGTTGCAAACATCTGACTGAAAATATAATACCCTCTGCAAGGGTATACAAATTATTGTAGACACTTAACCCACTGTGCGCTGCAGAATATTTGTAAAGTTCGTAAGTATTTATGCAGCCACACAGGCTGACAGCTGGATATTGGATATTGCTGCGACGTTTTTTCATAGAAAAAAGCCGAGGCCTTGTTAAAACAAATTCGATATTTTAAAAACTAAACATGGCTCCACCTTTTTGTCAAAAACCGATTGAAACTAACAATATGGCGAATATGTTAAAATAAAAAAAAAAAAAATTTTTGTGGGGAACCCGTTAAATAATTTGGTAATACTATACATTAGCGGACTCACCCCCGAAATTCGCGAAAAATTTATCCTCGATGGACCGCGATTTCTTAAGAATTTACGTGCAAAAAGAACTTTGCGGTCGGCCAAGAAATCGCTGTCCATCGAGGATCATTTTTACGCGGTTGTGACGACTACTTCCCTCTAATACCAATTACTCAGATGCTTGGAATTTTAAATTAGTCCTATTTTGACAAAAAAGGAAAAGGGTACATATATACGTATATGATTTTAATAGCAAACGTTTGAAAAGCATACTTGTTTTTTATAGCAAGCCCGGGAACTTTGAAATTCAATTACAAGAGAACCATGGCCGACCGCCAAGTTCTTTTTGAACGTAAATTCTTAAGAAATCGCGGTCCATCGAGGATAATTTTTTCTCGAATTTCTGGGGTGAGTCCGCTAATGTATAGTATTACCAAAAGAGCTTTTAGAGGAATTAAGGCAAAAGACACGATACAGATTTTCAATGAAAGGGTATTTTTTCAAAAATCACCTTTTTTTGGCAAACTAAAAAAAAATTCTAAAAAAAAATATATTTTTTTTTCGGCCAAATCCTTATACACGTGTTTACTTATTTTTCGAATAGTACACGTAAAAAAAGTTTCAGGCAAATCAAAAATGTGATCCAAGAAAAGGTGTTCGGTTTGTAAAAGAACCGCCCATATGCTTTGTGGGGTAAAAGCCGCAAAGCCGTCTGATGTTGGACCATGTTCTAGCTGGAGATGAGAAGGGGCTAATATCAGAAGTTTTGCGATGGCTTTTTTGTATTCGACTATATTATTAGTAGTAATGTTGAGCTTTAGTATTGACCAAACTGATAAGTTTTGATTCCACCAAGGGACTGTTCTTGGAAATTGAAAAGTAGTGTTCTGGGGGATAGATTGGTGCGCGCTTTGGATGATAATTTTTCTTAACATACATAGCTGCTTCTTTATTGACATTTTCGCTCGGTGACTTGTCAGTAGAATTGTATCGAAATGATTTTTATCTTTAGGTTAAAAGAGGGTTTACAGGTATAGGATGAGGGGGAGTTATTAAAATAGGGAGGTGATGACTTCCGTAGAGGTCGTCTATTGTTTCCCAGAGAAATTCTGGGGCTATATTGGATAAAGAGAAGGATGTGAAAGAGTTGTGTGTGGAGAAGTGACTTTTGTCGTTTAATAAGATGTAATCTGAACGGTCTAGGAATTTGGCAATAATATTGCCTCTGGTATTAGGGCTAGGAGAGCCCCAGTAGGGGTGCCAGCTAATAAAGTCTCCGAGGACTAACGTGGGTGTGGAGTCGTGGGTGTCGAAGCAAAGGACGTTTTCTAATTTAATTCTGTTAAAGGGCTTGGTTGGTGAAATGTAGGCTGATATTATGTTTAGTTTAAGTTTAGTATCTATTGAGACTCCGGTTGCTTCGAAGTCTTGGGTGATTGAGATTTGTCTTTGAGATATTGAGTTATGTATCAGAAGTGCTGCGCCTTCGTAAGAGTTGGTGCAGCATTGTTGGTAGAGTGTGTAGTTAATGGGAATGGGTAGTGAGTTAAAGTTGGTTATGTGTGTTTCTTATAGGGCAAGAATTAGGGCGTTGAAGGTCTTGATCAGGGATTGGAGTTTGATGTAGTTATTTCTATATCCGTGGATGTTCCATTGAATAATTTTAAGCATTAGAATGTTAGGGGTAGGTGTATTACTTAGTACTAGTTTGAGTGTTTAGTCTTTAACGTTCAATAACAATAATAAACTAAAAAAAAAACTTTTTAAAGCTCTTCTTCTTGCGATAGGCTAATCTGCTTAATTTGCTAATTTTGATGTGGTTATGGGCTTTGATTTATCTGCTTTGTCTTTAGCCTTGAAAGGGGGTTTGGAAATTACATTTGCGCTATCTTTAGTTTGGATTATATTGAAAATAGTAAGAACAAAGCTTAATTGTATTAAGTACTAAGTTTCTGTTGAATATATTTGCATATGCAAATATATCCGGTGGGATGTAAACTTTAAGTTTATACACATTATAATTTTTCAACGGATTTATTTCGAGTTTTTACGATACATACAGCCGACCTACAGAGGACCAAAAAACACATTTTTCATCTTTGTCGAGCTGCTGCGCTGCCATTACTTATCCAATCATATTGATCTGTATGGCAAAGTTAAGCTCTGATCTATTGACTTTATAATGAAACAAAAACTGGCCAAATTGGGTGGATATTTGCCGAGATATAGGAAGAAATTCGAAAAAGTCCGATATCTAACATTTTGAACTTTAAAAAATCTTTAAAAAATAACTGTGCCATCGAAAAAAAAATTAGTGTTATTTTCGTGATTTGGGGGTCGAACACTAACAGAATTTGCCATCAATTGCTTTGGAGCTCTCCAAGAATATTATTTTGTAAACTAGTGTAGTTATACATTATTAGATTGTTTGAGTTAGTAAATAAACTCTATGTTAATATGATCAGAAAAAAAAACACGAACACACAAAATAAATTTTTTGTGAACCGAACCGAGTATTAAAAAAAAAGTTCCGGTTCGGTTCCGGTTTAATTATAAAAAAATTCTGCGCTCCGGTTTACGGTTCAGTTCGTTTTCTAAAAAAAGTGAACCAATCCGGTTCGGAGTGGTTCAGCTCCGGAGTGGTTCACAGCCCTGTTTCTTTGACTATAAATTTTATTGGCGAACGCAAAAGAAACAGTTTATCTCTATTTTAGTGTATGTCACACAAAAAAAAAACGGTGGGTCGGGGATCGAACTCGGTCCTTTTTGTTCGGAGACAGAAGCTCTGTTAATTAACATGAAATAAACTTCTACTTAACTATTTTATTCGAGCAGACTAAAAAAGTTGACAAGTTAAGGAAGGAAGAAAAATATTACGATTCGTACAAGTTATATGTTTTTGTATTTTATTACGTGTCATCCTAACGCTACAAGTTTGGGACTTATAAATTAATGCGCTAGTCACAAATAGATGCAAATATTTACTTATTATATGACTGAAAACTAATTTTATATATAAAAGAAAAACTAACTTAAGTCGCTTTCTAATTTATTTTTATTTACCTGACAGTGTTTTTAAGGTGTGAGAGTAGCTTTGTTTTGAATTGCGTACCACTGATTCCATGATCGAATAGCATTTATTAAAAATTTTCTCTCGGCTGTCAATGATCTAGGTCTTATGCAAGTTAGGTTTTTTGCTCTTCTAGAGGCTGTAAATTTGAGTTTTTTAAATAGATATGAAGGTTCTTTTTCGAAAATAATTTTATGGAGATAAATTAAGTTACGCATTTTTATCTATTCATTAAGTCGACATTAAATATTTTTGTGAAAATTCCAAGACATGATTTCTTGGTGGTAGGTTGAATATGTACCTTGCTATGCAATTGAATACAACCTTAATTTTGTTTTGGCTGATCGTGTCACAATTTGAAAAAACTTTTATTTCATAGAAAAGCACTGGAGCAATACATGTTTTGGCTATCATTAAACGTATATGAGTGGGCAGGCAATTTCATGTCTTGGTTTCGTCAGCTGTTCCTTTTTATATGTAAACGCTGGCGAGTCTAGGCCGATAAACTTTAAGCTCAGTTGCGTTTTCCCCTCTCTCCGGTACGCCCCGATCGCACGCAGCAGTGCTGTGCTTTATCGTGCACGTGTTCCATTTTTATACCCGTTACTCGTAGAGTAAAAGGGTATATTAGATTCTCTGTAGGAATGAGACTGGCTCGCTTGCTTGTTAATACAAAAAAAAAGTATACATATTAAAAAAAATATAAGGCAAAAAAAGGAAAACAATCGGAAAATGATAGTGGTAAAATACTTTCTTGCAACCACGCGCATGCGCAGCGGTTCGAATTACTCGGTAGCAGTGGAGAAATGAGAGAGGGAATAGCTTTTTATACGTATCATAAAGAGTGAGATGCGGCGAGACGAAAATTAGAGACGATCTCGGATCGGATTTAAGCCTGCTTCTCGGCCTCGATCACCTCCTTGGTGGGCAGCACGTTCTTCTCGTGGGTCTCGGTGTGCTTCAACTTTTTCGCATCAAAGTTCTCGATGACGGCGATGAACTGATTCTTCTCCTTCTCCTGCTCGATGGCTTCCTTATCGGGCAACGGGTTCTTCTCGTTGGTCTCCGTGTGCTTCAAGTTGTTCTGATTGAAAGCGGTGATGCCCTCGAAGATCGACTGTTGGGTCTTCTCGGTGGCCACATCTTCGGCGGTGGGAAGAATGATCTTCTCCTGGGTGCTGGCGTTCTTCAGTTTGTCCTGGTTGAAGCCCTCCAACTGGCTCTTCAGGTTCTCGGCCACCTTGGGCAGATCCTTGAGTGCTGGTGCTGGGGCGGCCATCTTGATTTGGTTTTTGGCGTTGGTTTTTTGGATTGGCAAAGCAAAGAGGATTACTGCAAATTGGGATGCTGGCGGGGTCGGGCCTTATATATATCTATCTGTATAGTAGCTGTACACTTGGCGGCTGTTTAACCCTCGGCTTGTCGCGGTTTCGAAGCGGAGCTCTTGACGTCACAGATTTAATACTGATTCGTGCAAAAGTATGTTACAGCTAGAAGGAAGCGTTTCCGACCCTATAAACTATATATATTCTTGATCAGGATCAATAGCCGAGTCGATCTAGCCATGTCCGTCTGTCCGTCTGTCCGTCTGTCTGTCCGTCTGTCTGTCTGTATGAACGCTGAGATAGAGCTTGAAAATTATCGATGTCAGTATCGATATTATCGATACTTCTGATATTTTTCAAACATCGATATTTATCTATAACATCGATGTTTTTCTGACGTTTTATTAGAGAGAAACGAACAGATTTCACTCTTTAATTTTGAGGACCAAAATAACTTTAAATACAAAATCACTTAAAGTAGGGACAAATTACCATACAAGAACCGCGAGTTCTTGGTACTTTGTTCTTCTTTGGTCCCATAGATATTATGTAGGCGAAAAGGGCATAGGTTATGGCAAAAAATGGTCAATAAAAGAACCGCGAGTTCTTGAGAAGAGGAGGAACTTTGGTTTTTTTAGTACCAAAAACAAAATCTTGGTTGCAGCTACCGACCTTCTGTCCGCTATTAAAAAATCTCAAGAAACCGCGAATTCATAGCCTTTGATAAGAATTGGTCGCTTTTCGAAGATCGTTTGAGCGATTTGGACTCAAGGATAAAAAAAAAAAAACAACCGCAAATTCTTCAGAAGAGGAGGAATTTTTACTTCTTTATGGTATAGTATCAATTAAAGTAGGGGGAAATAACCATAGGTTGTGGCATAAAATCGAAAATGAAAGAACCGCGATTTCTTGGCAAAGGATCAAAAAAAAAGCAACCGGGAATTCTTCAGAAGAGGAGGAATTTGTTCTTCTTTAGTACCAAAAAATGGGATGGAACAAAGGTTTGTTCTATTATTTTACATAAGTATTTCCTCATAAGATATTTAAAAAAAATTCTTAAGAAGCCGTGAATGTCTTTGACTAAGAATTGGTGTCTTTCTAGACATGTGACGCAACTCAACTCAATGATCAAAAAAAAAACCACGAGTTCTTAAGAGGAGGATCCTTTAGTCTAAAATTGCATTTTAATAATGAAAACCGGAAATTAAAATTAAATAAATTAACCGCGATTTTTTCTAATAATAATATTAATAATAATGCAAGTCTATTACGCATGTATATAATAATAATACGTGGTATTAACAGAATTATAAAATTGTTTTTAATTTGTCTTTGCTTTCCTTGAAAACATCGATATTATCGATACGATAATGATAAAGTATCGAAAATATCGATACTGTCATTTATCGATAATTTTCAAGCTCTACGCTGAGATCTCGGAAACTATAAAAGCTAGAAGATTGACATTTTGCATGCAGATTCTGGGAGTTCCTACGCAGCGCAAGTTTGTTTCAAAAGGGGTGCCACACCCCCTCTAACGCCCTCAATCGCTTATATACGATTTTAAAAATTTCAATATTTCGGAAAAGTAAAAATGCAGTTTTATTGTGTTTATCAATACCTATCGAAATGTGTTTAATCGGACCATTCGTTAAAAAGTTACGGCGGATCAAAGTTCTTATCTCCATCTCCTTCGCACTCCCTTTAGCTGAGTAACGGGTATCTGATAGTCTGGGCACCCGACTATAGCGTTCTCTCTTGTTATAATAATAATTGGATCCACAATTGTATGCCCCGACTGTCGCGGTCGCATTCGAAAAATGGATCGTATTTTCGGCGGCCGGGTCAATTGAAGTGGAAAGCACAGTGCGTTGAAATGTGCTCTCACGTTCTCCCCTTGGACTTGTGGGAACCATGCCAGCGCAAGTCACAGGCAATTTCAGACTCAGCCTGTCCGTTGCAGGAGGCCACCCACTTTGCCTCCAACTCTTCTACTCGCTGGGCATGACAGTTTTTGGCCAGCTTCACCTACAGTTCTTGGATCCGTTGCTTCAACGTGCCCATCTCTCTCATCTCGTTCTCCAATTGAGTGACTCGCAGAGAGAGCTTGTTGCAATCAGCTTGAATTTTTCTTCCAGGCTGCCTGCTTTCTCTGTGCTTTGTGTTATGCTTGAAATTGTTTTTGTGGCTAGTTTGAGTTATCGTTGCAGAGTAACTGTTTAATTTGGGTATTTGTTATTGCACTTTGCTGGATTAATGGTGAGGTTGAAATGCCGTAGTCGTTCAAAAGCTTGGCGGAGGTGAACTTAGTGCTGCTCCATGTTGACTGATGCGACCGCAATGTCATCAACATTATCGAAGAAAAAATCCATCTCTGACAGTGTGGTATGCATGTATCACTGGAATGTTTGTGCCGCGATGCACAACAGCAATGTGGGTGAATTCGAATAAACCGAAAGGAGTAGTTATGGCCGTTTTGGGAATGTCTCGAGCCTCGATGGGGATTTGATGGTAAGATCGGATTAGATCGATCTTTGAAAAAACGTGTTTCCCGTAAAATATATGAGTAGAGTCTTGTATGTGAGGTAAGGGATACCGATCTGGTGTGGTTTGTACGTTGAGAGCTCGGTAATTACCGCATGGACGCCATTCACCAGTGGCCTTACGGACCATGTGTAACGGGGAGGCGTAAGGGCTTTTTGATAGGCGGCAAACGACAAGGTTGATTACACCAGTTTACAAAAAAAAAATCGATGAAATATACCATGAATGAAACCATTGTTTTCCGGTAAGGTACCTTTTACAATACAATTTTTTTTTAAGTGTAAAAAACGTTTTTGACATTTTTTTAATTTCTAACTTGAGTTGTGATTAACCGATTTCAACCATAAATGACTCATTTTACAGGTAATAGAATGCCCTCCAACTTACTTACACACTGCATTGAGTTCCATCCATTATTTTAGAAGCTACACTTCGTCAAAGTTGTAAAAGTGAGAAAAAATGCAAAAATGCTGGCATAAATGGCATCGTTAAAAATACACGCCTAAAAACCGAAATTAGTTTTATGGCTTATACTTAAAGATACATCTTTAAGTCAACTAACAAGACCATCAACAAAAAAATCAATCAATAGTTCGATTTTATATCGATTTTTTACATTGGGAAAAACGGGTATTACAGCCCTGTTAGAGCCCTGTTGTGTCAGTTAACAACTGTAAACGGCCAAAAAAACACCGTTGTCGTGTAGTTTCATTTATGGTAGATTTCATCGATTTTTTTTTTGTAAACTGGTGTTAGCTACTGGAACTCACTATTTGCTGCTTGGAATTTTTCTGGAGTTAGCCTTCTGGGCCTGGCGAATAGTGGAGATCTTTTGGTTTCGATGCAATGTGTGACGTTGGTTTGGTTAAAGTTTTTGTTTTTTTAGTTTCTTTTTATATGTTGTAATTTTTAAAATTTATTTAAAAAAAAATTAGGTTTAAAAAAAATTGTTTTTTTTTAAATAATGTTTTGTTTAGTTTCTTTATTTATGTTTTAATTTCTATAAGGTAAATCCAATTTATGGACTATAATTACTAAATTCTAACTCTGTGACAAGGTTGTGATTCCATGACCCTAAAATACAGTTTGGATTCGCACATACTAAATTCAATGCTTAGGCAGCGTAAGTTGTTTTGAGCTGTCAAAAGTAGCTATTTTTAAACGTGATTTTTTACAGTAACATAATATATGCCAAAATTTAAGGAATCTCAAGGGCTATACAGTTTGAAGTTTAAAAGAAATCATTAGAGCCGTTTTTGAAAAAAAAATAAAAAAAAGCTAAAAAAAAAAATTTAAAAAAAATTGTTTTGTGCATATCTTTTTAAATATTACATTTACACAAATTACATATTGGAGGCGCTTAAAGAATTGTAAAATACCTTTTAAACGAGATACAGCACAATTCTGTAACTTCAGTAGTTACGGCCTTCCGTACTTTAGCTATTTATAGCTGCTTTCTCGCTAAACTAGCGGGTTTTTCCAAAAGTGGTAGAACTAAAGTTTACGTTACGACCATCGAAGCTGCCCTGTAGATTTCCAACGGTGGTGCTTAGTTTTTTGAACTGTTGTTGGTGTGGAAAGATCACGGTTGGATGCAGCGTTGGGCACTGTCTGCGTACTTATTGTGGTACCAGCACAATTGAGGGTTAGAGTTGTCCCTGGATGGTGTGTTGCTCCGGTAGCTGTTGTTGCTGGGCGATCGATTGTAGCTCCGACCACGTTGCTGATTTGTGGTGCCAAGCAGTTGACTTAGCTTGTTGTTGATCTGCTGCAGATTTTTGTCGTTGTCGTCAAGGCGTTTACCTAGTTGTGTGATGCGATCCTCCTGTGAAGCATGATGGGTGTTTTGTTGTAATACCGCACACATGTGGTCTGAAGTGTCGTAGTTGAGAGAATCCATCACAGCGTCGGCAGCAGTTGCGAGCTGTGCGGGGGTGGTGTTGGGAGAGCGATTACAGCACGTGCAGGTGGTGGGGCTTGATCCAGTAGAGACGCACAACCGATTCGTCATTGGTGGCGTTTGTTTGTTGAAGTTGGCTTGGACGACCGTCGCCGAGTTGTCGCAAGTCTGTCGAGGCGCACCATTTCTGATTCGGCAAATTTAGACAAAATTTCTTGTTTAAGTGTGGAGTACGGGTTCGTTTGTGGTGGGTTATTGACAAGATCATGCACTTGGGATCAGCGTACGCGATGACTGCCGCGTATTTATCTTGTTCTTTGCGTGCGCCAAGGCCTTGCAACAAATGCTGGTCGATGCTGGTAATGGAATTTAGTTGAGGGAAGGGCATCATGGATTGGCAATGGTTCATGCGCATCGACGAAATCCTCGTTGTCTTGCATTGTGTTAGGTTATGTTGAGGTTGGTAAATTGGACTTTGTTCCCTTTGGTTGCAGATGTTCGACTTGTCAGAGGTCACCAGTTATGGTTGTCTAAACCAAGTTAATATGTTGCACTTTATTAAATTACAAGAGAAATTTAAGTTTAAATTATATTTTGTAGTTTTTATTGATAAATGCTAACTGAAATAAAATTCTAGTTTCGGTGTTTTTAAACTCTTGTAGAGGGTATTATAATTTCAG